CCCCCCCCTCCCTGACTATCTACCGTACTACAAAAAAAAAAGGCGAACTACCTAACCTGGAGGCAGAACAAGACCCGAGCCTCCCGCGACGAGGAGGCCAGCCGCCTCTCCCTCGAAGCCCTGGCCGCGCACTGCCTCGCCCAGACCAGGGCGACCGGCCTCGAGCACGCCGTCGTGCCCGCTCGCGGCACCGGACGGGGTAGGGAGGTGCGGCTGGAGGGGCTGGGAGGAGTTGGCAGAGGAGGCGGAGGAGGAGGCGTTTGCGTGCACGCGAAGCGGGCCCCAGGCAGCGGTGGGAGGGGTGTCGCGATTCGGAAGGGACAGGCCGTGAGGGTAGTGATCCAGAAGGTCGAGCCGCAGCTCAAGCAGGTGGTGGCGACGGAGTTTGTCGACGGCATGGAGGGCGGGGCAGGAAGAGGAGGTGGCCGGGGCGCGGATGTGACGCAGGCCGGAGACAAGTAGAGGGGGGCAGCGGTAGAGGAGAATCGCGCACACGTGTGTGTCCGTGCCGCTGTGTCCAATTTTGACTGGCTCGGGATAGTCGAGGTGGTCGCCGTGAAGTGTTTTGTCCGGTCGGTGGGCTTTGGGAGGACGTAGTGCGCACGGTGGGTTGGGTCCACCTTTGATTGGTTCGGGAGATGATCGACATTTTGCGCGATATTGACTGTTGCCGTGTGTGCGCTTTTCGAGGGATTTTTGCTGTCGGAACGGATGCATATGTCATGTGAGATGAAAGGTGTCCGGCCGTTGTGCCGTGGCACGTGCGAAGAGGTCCGTCCTACCCAAGCGGTTTTTCGCCTCGCGCTGTGTTTTCACTTTTAGTTGTTCGTGTTGTTTGGCGGGCTTGGGCGCTGAGTCGTAGTCCTGCGTGAATGGAAGTGCAGAACTAAGTACACTTTGGAACATGGGAGACGCGGGGTGGCGGGGAAGATTTTCGTACTAGAAAGGGAACGCAGGTACTAGTTCAGGACGGAGGGTGTGCGTTGTTGCTGCCAACTTTTGATTTTGCATGTAGGCCTCCCCGCCCCGAGACACGCGAACGGGCGCCAAAGGTGGAAATTTTGTTTGCTTTGGAGAACCAGGAGGAAACGTCGAGCGTGAGAAACACGGTGCCGACTCGGGGACGTTCTTGTCCTGACTCTTCCCCTGGTGAGTGAAGGCCGCGGTCGAATGCGAATTTTGAATGGACATGCTCCGACGGAAGGCACCAAACGAGGGCGAGGATGGCAGTGACCTTCACTGAGCATCCTTTTGGAACATCGCTCACTTCACTGTTGACCCCATGTCACGAGAGTCGCACTCAGAACCATGTAGCTCAATCTCTTGCAACAGCGCGCAAGCTACTCGGTTGTCAGACGCTGACCTTGTATCCTCCACGGAAACGGTTGCTTTTCGCGCGTAGCGTGGACACGTACCGGTGGTGCTAAATACAAGAAGGGTGCAAAAGAAAACGGGAATTCCACTGATGCTACTGCTATGGAACATCCCTCTAGTTGAGTCCTGACGCCCCGACAGCCTCTACACCGCCAACCTCACCCGGAAGGGTGCCAACAATCAACACCCGTACGCAATGTAAATTTACAATCTTCGTTTCTATCGCTACGCATCTCTTTTCCAGACTTTCCGTACAGGCACGGCTAAAGCCACAGCGGCCGACGTCCAAACTGATCCCCAGGGATGGGCACAACCATAATCTCAACCACAGAGTACAACAAGGTAAGAGCGTCTGCAAAACAGTCGCACTGACCACGCAAGCAAGCCTAACACATTGTTTTTCGCGCATGTAAAGGCTAGTCCCGCCCCGCTCTGTTCACAACGAGCCTTTTTCATTTCACGGGGCCGCCTTCGCGACGGATTGCGTGGTCTTTAAGAAAAGGTACAAGGTTTTTCACGGTACATAGTCTACAGCAGTAGACTAGTCTCTTGACACAGAAACTTTGCATTTCGGTACAAAGACTAGTCTAATAGTCTACGTTGCATTGAACAGCTCGCGGGGAGAACCACAAGACACACAAGAGGGAGGCACAACGTCAAACCGGGTGCACCTTTAGCGATTCCCGTTTTTGGAGGAGCCCTCGGAGTCTCTTGCCATCCATGGGCTTGGGCAGAGACCCGTCGAAGCCGGTGTCGACTTCGACGACGTTGGCCGACATTGCGTATATCCGCTGGCGGTTCGGTCTGTTCACCGCTTCCCACTTCCTAAACCTGAGTCACGCCGGGAGGTGACGACCGATGAGGAGGGCGAGGGGGGCGGAGGCACTGGGCACCACGTTTCTTGCCATTTCTAGCGGGTTCCTCCGGCACCGAGCATATCTGTCTGGAATTCATCGCCGCGGCTGCGTCTCTTGTTTCGTTTGATTTTCGTGGCTTGGCCCTCCGAACACGTGCTCGTTGCTATTCGTTTCCAGTCGTCCTCCGTTCGTTAGACATCCGTTCGAGGTCGGCTGAAGCTAGAGAAAAACAACGTGTAGGGTCCGACCCGTTTCAAGCCCGGTCCGTTCCGGCGGGCTGCGCACGCGTAATGATGGCGGCTTGCTTTTCCATGTAAGCTACACGCGGGGCCCCGAGCTAACAAAAAACAAAACGTAGCTGCAGAGCTCCCTCGAACGTCAACCGGGGGCATATGAATCTACCAATCAATTCAGCCATCACATATTTACGAGCATTGGGTCCCGGGCCAGCCTTCTCCTCAGCCTAACCCCCCGTGTCAACGTCCACCGTACAACGGCACGCCTCCTCACCTCGCCAAACACTCCCTCCCGTCCATGACAGGCATCGAGANTTTTCGCGCATATAAAGGCTAGTCCCGCCCCGCTCTGTTCACAACGAGCCTTTTTCATTTCACGGGGCCGCCTTCGCGACGGATTGCGTGGTCTTCAAGAAAAGGTACAAGGTTTTTCACGGTACATAGTCTACAGCAGTAGACTAGTCTCTTGACACAGAAACTTTGCATTTCGGTACAAAGACTAGTCTAATAGTCTACGTTGCATTGAACAGCTCGCGGGGAGAACCACAAGACACACAAGAGGGAGGCACAACGTCAAACCGGGTGCACCTTTAGCGATTCCCGTTTTTGGAGGAGCCCTCGGAGTCTCTTGCCATCCATGGGCTTGGGCAGAGACCCGTCGAAGCCGGTGTCGACTTCGACGACGTTGGCCGACATTGCGTATATCCGCTGGCGGTTCGGTCTGTTCACCGCTTCCCACTTCCTAAACCTGAGTCACGCCGGGAGGTGACGACCGATGAGGAGGGCGAGGGGGGCGGAGGCACTGGGCACCACGTTTCTTGCCATTTCTAGCGGGTTCCTCCGGCACCGAGCATATCTGTCTGGAATTCATCGCCGCGGCTGCGTCTCTTGTTTCGTTTGATTTTCGTGGCTTGGCCCTCCGAACACGTGCTCGTTGCTATTCGTTTCCAGTCGTCCTCCGTTCGTTAGACATCCGTTCGAGGTCGGCTGAAGCTAGAGAAAAACAACGTGTAGGGTCCGACCCGTTTCAAGACCGGTCCGTTCCGGCGGGCTGCGCACGCGTAATGATGGCGGCTTGCTCTTCCATGTAAGCTACACGCGGGACCCCGAGCTAAAAAAAAACAAAACGTAGCTGCAGAGCTCCCTCGAACGTCAACCGGGGGCATATGGCCTTAGAATCTACCAATAAATTCAGCCATCACATATTTACGAGCATCGGGTCCCGGGCCAGCCTTCTCCTCAGCCTAACCCCCCGTGTCAACGTCCACCGTACAACGGCACGCCTCCTCACCTCGCCAAGCACTCCCTCCCGTCCATGACAGGCATCGAGATGTCCATGAGCACGATGTCGTACTCCTTGTTCTTGAGTCTCTCTAGGCCCTCCACACCGTTACACGCGAGGTCGACGTCGTGCTGCTTGAGGAAGTGGCGCATCATCTTCCGGATGGAGGCCGTGTCGTCCACGATCAGGCATGTCCCCCGGGTGGTGTCGCCGCTCTCCCGGAGCGAAACGCTCCGGCCGCTGCCGCTGGGGCTGTCGATATCGATGTCCTTGTCCACTTTCGCCGGGATCAGAACCTGGGTGGAAGTAAAGAGGCCGTTCGGAGTGTGTCAGTCCTCGTCTTTCCAGTCGTAAGCAGCGTACGGCGGTTTGCCCTGTCATGTGTGGAGGAGCAATCCTTATCTCCTCTAGGGATAGGCTCACGGAGCTACATGCTAGGATCCAGCTCGATGTTGGGACAGACTATTGTTCATCGTCCGGACTTGTGTCACGAACGTTGTGTCCGAGATGCCGACGACTTTGGACCATGCTCCCTGAGTGCTTGTGGCCGACGTCTATTATTGCTGCTTACCGTGCCCCACACACAAGGCAAGACAGAAAGGCGTACAAGCTAGCGCGGTGTGCACATGCACGTTGGTACTGTTGTTCACCTCGAAGATAGTACCCCCGCCGGGATTGTCGAAGACCCTGCACGAGCCCCCCAGCGCGTCGACCTTGGTCTTGACCGAGTAAAGCC